GGCCTCTAACCGCCTCTACCTCGGCCCCGCCACCATGGCTTTGTCCAGAAGGTCTCCTGGAAGGTCTCCCAGTCTAATTAGCATATTACCCTTTTATTAGTATAGATTTGTAAACCTTCAAAAAGCCACTGTGGTATACATTGGTAGCTTTGTGAAGGTTGAATGAGGTATGGAAATTATGGGAAAACTAGAGATGAGAATAAATGAGATGAGAATAAATAGATGGTAATTTGAATTCTTGAATCACTTTATTTTACTGTGTTAATTATTATGGCAAATTTTAAACATATACAAAGAGAATAGGTCTACTGTACGGTCATATACTACCCACTTTAAGTAACTGTCTTTCTCATGATTCCTTTTCCTCCTGTCTCTTTATTTCTCTTGGAGTACTTGAAAGGATAGCTCAAGACATCATATTAATTTATCCCCGTGTAACGAGGTAGTTAGATAAGTATGTGTGTTTTTAAAGCTCTCTAGGCTATGTTGTTATATCACGACTTGGTAAAATGAACATTTTGCATTTACATTGTTTTGACTATAGTGTGATAAGGGAAGTAGTGTAGTATGATTGTCTTCTTTTTGTGCTTTCATTTGTGTTTTTCTTTGAATTAATAATTAAAATTTGCTTAGTTTTGTTTCCCAGTTCTAATGTTTCTCAAATGTTCCAGTAGATGTTACATGCCTAATTGTCTAGCAGTTCAAAAACAGTCTGTTTTTTTTCCCCTTGAAACTTCCTCTTCTGGGAGTCTTTTGTCTCCAGCTCTAATCTAAATGGTTGCTTCATAAGCTTGATGCGCATTTGCCATCCGGAATTCTCTTTCCAGATCTTTCTTGATTTTTTTTTCTTTTTAAATTTCATTCTCTAATAGCTTTCTAAGAAAGGGTGCATGGGAAGTAAATTTTTTGAGTCATTGCATATCTGTGTCCTATTCTTTTTTTTTTCTTTAATCCTCGCCTGAGGATATATTTTTATTGATTGATTGTTTTTAGAGAGAGAGGAAGGAAAAGAAAGAGAGAGGGAAACGTGGATATGAGAAACATCGATGGGTTGCCTCCTAGGATTGAACTCACAACCTAGGTATGTACCCTGACCAGTAATCAAACCTGCAACCTTTTGATGTATGGGACAATGCACTAACCAATTGAGCCACCCCAGGGTGGCTCAGTGTCCTATTTTTGAATGACAGTTGGGATGGGAATAGAATTCTAGGTTGAAATATTTTACATTACAGGTTTTGCAGATATCTTGAAATATTGTTAGCCCTCTTTTATTTTGTTATTATGGTGGTTATCAGACCCACAACTAGGTTGTTACTTAATATGTTAGTAAACAAGTATACATAGTACAATATTAAAATTTTAATGAAAATGTTTATATTTTATTATAATTTTTCTTTTGTAGTCCTAAACGTTTTCCTTTATACATTAAAAAAGGGTCCATAACACAGACACTGGGGCGGTGAAGACCTGGGGAGAGAGGGTGGAGGGGGCCAATGGGGGAAAAAGGTGACATATGTAATACCTTTCAAGAATAAAGAATTTTTTTTTAAAGGGTCTGTAGGCTTCAGATACAGCACAAAAAATGTCAAGAACCTTTGTTCTAGTTTATTTTAAAAAGTTTAGATGAATGTATTCATAAATAGCATGTATTTTCTTAGGTGTTTAAAAACTTTTCATCAATAATATTAAACAAACTAGTCTATGACTTGCTTTTAAAGTCTTCCCATGTTAACGTGCAAAGATCCAGTGTATTTTGTAGAGTATGTCATAGCATGAATTTATCCATTCCTGGAGTAAAGGACATTTGGGTTTATGTTTTTATTCCAAAGAGGTGCAATGAATAATCTGAAGCTCTATTCGTATGTAAATGTTTAAGAATTTTTTTAGAATACACCAGTATCTTTTTTAAACTTTATTTTATTCTTAATTTTTTCTAAATTATTTTACTTTTTTAATGAGCAACATATGCATATGGGTAAAAATGAGTTATGAGACAAACCAGTCCCTACTCTACCTCTCCTCACTTCAAAAGCAATTATTTCAGTCTGCTATTTCTTCTCTTGACATTTTGAAGTAATAATCTTATATTGTCAATTCTTAATTTGTCAAGTTTAGAAATTATCTCAAGATTTTCTTTTAAAAAATATATTTTTATTGATTTCAGAGAGAGGGAGGGAAAGGGAGAAGGGGATAGAAGCATCAATGATGAGAAAGAATCATTGATTAGCTGCCTCCTGCACGCCCCCTACTAGGGATCGAACCCGAATTCATCTCAGGCATTTGCCCTGACCGGGAATTGAACTGTGACCTTCTGGTTCATGGGTCCACACTCAACCACTGAGCCACATCGGCTGGGCTAAAGATTTCCTTTTGTTACCTCTTTATCCTGTTATTCCCATCTTTTTTTATAAAGTGCTCAGTCCTTTCCTCTATTATAGAAGGTGGTCTGAAAACCTCATAGCAAAGTTTCTAAATGACTAAAGATAGTAAGAGAATGAGCATCAAGGAGTTGAGAGCAGGATCTCTGGAAATGAACGGAAACTTATGTAGCCAGAAATATATATGGAGTAATTATTGCCAGGAAATTGGGAGAGGGACTTAATTCGAATGGAGATGGGAATAGCAGGAAAAGTAAACCTTTATTTAAATTTAGAAACCAGTTTTATGGTTCACTAGGAGCCCATGAGAACTGGTTCTTTTAGGTTATTAAATATCAGGATATTTCATTATTTGTGTAACACAAAGCTGTCTGTCTCTGCTGTGTCAGATAAGAGATAATTTTTCACATTCAAACACTGTCATTAATTTTAGCTCACTTTGTCAAAGAAGTGTTTATTATCTCTTGGTTCATGCAATTAATTTTATTTTTAAGAGTCTACAGATTATAGCTATCAGTTTAATGTGATAGAAAGTCCTAGCAAGCAATATTGTAAAATAAAAATAGTGTAGCAGGGCAGATCTTGAAACTGATTTTCTACCTTGACATTCCTTCTGTACAGATTTCCCAGCCGTGAATTGGGTTCTTCAGTTTGATTGTCCTGAAGATGCCAACACATACATTCACCGTGCAGGTAGAACTGCCAGGTAAGTGTGCTGGCCCATTTCTTTGCTTTTGGTGCTATCTAAATAAAAAACTATGCTCCCTGAAATGCAGACAAAGAATTCAGGTACGTGAGTATAGTTGGGCATTTTTATGGTGTAGTTTGAGAACATCTGGTCAGCTGTTGCAAGTCAATATAGCTGAGACTTGATTACTGCTGCGAAAAATCAAAGAAAATCTTATTTTAGTTTTTTTTCTAACTTTGTTTATTTACTAAACTTTTTACAAGAACTGCTCACTGAACATCATCTCTCTGGAACCTAATGAACCCTCAGTGAGGTATAGGACTGTTATTTAATATCTATTTTCAGAGGAGGAAACTAAGTCTTTGAGCAGTTAAGCAATTTTTTGACGACGCACAGCCCCAGGATTCTAATCCAGGTAGTCTGACTTCTCTAGTCTAGATCTGTACTCTTACTCTCTATGGTATCGGCCCTAAGAGGCAAGGTGGTTTTGAGCTGTAGATTTCTCTTTCTTTTTTCTCCCCTAGTGTGGAAATTAGACATTGCTGGAGACTACTCCCAATTACTCCCTTTTCCAAATATGTCCCCCTTCCTCCCCAATAAAAGCATCACTAAAAGTTGGTGGCTTAAAAAACTGAAGTGACTGTTGTTCCAGTTAGTGTCTCTTCCATCATGAAACATCAATGTCTCATTGACGTCCACATTAAAAATATTCGCTTAACCAGTTTTGATGAGAAAGAAAGTGGCAACAAAATGGAAAACCAAAGAAATAGTCTATCTGTGGCTAATCATAATGAATCATAACCCTACTGTGGTTATTATTTTGGCTGTTTCCAATTCTTAACAATCACAAGTATCAGTAAAATGAACAAGTGCTAACAAGTGGTGGGGAAACTATCTGGAAGAGAATATAGCAAAGTCATAATCATTTGGGAGTAAATGGCATAGAAAGGTATCTGAATGAATGAAAAGAATAACAAATGTCATTGCTATTGAGGTTGCAGTGAAGTTGGGATATGTATGCTGCTGGTAGAACTGTAAATGGTTAGCGTCTTTCTGGATAGCATTTTGTAATACTTATCAAAGTCTTAGAGTTCTTCCTTTTGACTCAGTAACTCCATATCCAGAAATTGATCTTAAGAAAATAGGGAGAAGGAAAAAGTTTCAGTCAAGATGTTCATTTTACTGATATTTGTGATGGTTAAGAATTGGAAACAGCCAAAATAATAACCATAATAGAGTTATGGTTAATTATGATTAGCCACAGATGGACTATTTTTTTGGTTTTCCATTTTGTTACTACTTTCTTTCTCATCAAAACTGGATAAGTGAGTATTTATAATGTGGACGTCAATGAGACATTGATGTTTCATGATGGAAGAGACACTAACTGGAACAACAGTCACTTGAGAATTTTAAGCCACGAACTTCCAATGATTCCCCAGGGATGGCAGGGTTTTTAGACCAAGATTGGAATACTCATCTAAGTGGAGACTCATTCTCCAGCAGTTTGCTCTTCCATTTGCCCTGCATCTCCTTCAGCAAGTGGCCCAATTGTCTTCTGTCCCTTGTTTATCTATGAAGTCCCTTTGGTGTTTACTTTTACATTTCTTTGTGTCCACAGTTCTCATGGCTTTAATGAAATTTTATCTTTTTGTTTGATTCTGTTGTTTGTTTCAGCTTAAGTGAAGGTTTTTCATATTCTTCTACAGCCTAAGAAGTAGGTTCAAACATTTTTCAGTTGGTTCAATTTCAGCCCATGGTCTATTAAACATGGGCTTTAGTCAAGGTCTCCTCACTTAAGTGCTTTTCTTTTGACCACCATGAAGAGAGAGCATGGTATAAGAATGAAAGGTAAACCTTTTTATAAATAGGATTTATGTATTAGAGGGTTCAAAGTATGTCATTTTATTGCAGTTAGATAATTTGAATAAGCAATGGGGTTAGAACTGGGTTCTGTGTATGATGTCTTTCTACATTTAGACAAACTTATCTTAGAATGACAACATTTTTTTTTTTTTAAATGGGATCTAAGTAAATGTGACCTAGGTAGAACAGCAGCCTTGTTTTCCATTTTATGAGAAGGTACATTGTGTTTCAGTGTCTCTGATACATTGGGTACATGTTCAGATTATCTTTCATAGTGAGATATTCAGAAGTTTTTAGTTGTGGTTATTGGAATGAATGTTTCTGTATTGTTTAATTCTCAACGAATGTGTAATAAGTATGAATTTGTACAGGTACCCATGTACACACTTGCATTTTGTGGTCTTGTGGGCCTCTAGATAGATAAAGTTGGGTCTGGTCTCTCGCTAGCATATTGGACCAGGAGTAAGCAGGCTTTTAGATGTGCCATTAGTGTTGACATGGGCAAGGCAAACTAATTCCTTTATAGAATACATTTAGCAATGTTTTGAAATTATTTTTCCTATATGAAGATTATTGGGCATTTTAGTGTATCAGGAAAACATTGATAAAGGGCAAATATTTCCAGATTCTTATTTCCTGGAGAAGTTGTTAAAAATGTATGTAGTTGATCCTGGCTGGTGTGGCTCAGTGGTTGAGTGTTGACCTATGAACCAGGAGGTCATGGTTCGATTCCCGGTCAGGGCACATGCCGGGTTGTGGGCTAGATCCCCAGTACAGGGTGTGCAGGAGACAGCCAATCAGTGATTCTTGTCATTGATGTTTCTATTGCACTCTCCCTCTCCCTCACTCTCTGAAATCAATTTAAAAAAAAAGAAAAATAAAAAAATGTTATGTAGTTGAACATGCCATGGTGAACATGAAATTGGTCTTAATGACTGTGGAGCAGTGTAGGAGGTAGAACAGCATCACAATTGATTGTATTTTAAGAGAGAATACTAATTTGAAAAACTATATTATAATGCAATTTCTATTGTGGTCATTAATTTTTAAAGTACAAGCCTGTTTGATCCTTCATAACCAATTAAAAATACTTTGAATTGAGTTTGAATACTTTGAATTTGAATACTTTTAGATATATAGTGAGTGGAAAGGTTTAGGATATGTAATGCTTATTTTTCTTTGTCAGTTTAATAAAAATTGACTAAATTGCCATTTAAAAGTTGCCATTAATAGGTTTAGAGATAATTAGAAAATTTCTTATGCCATGAGCCCTGGATAATTGAATTGAATAAAGGCTAAATTAAAATTTGAAATTAATTAAAATCCTGTGTATATGCTGTAATTACAACCAGGTTGCCAGATAGCATTTGCTTTTGGAATTGAACGATGACATATGAATATAGATAAATGAACTTAGTGCTTTGTGGCAAAATAACTAAAGTTTGGGAAAATCAGTTTTCTTTTTCCTTTCTGTGTTTTAGCTAAGTGAAAAGGATGATTCAGGTACTTGTTGCCTTGAAGTACTTATTCTATTTTAATTTTTAATTTAGTCACCTGTCTAAAATTCTTTTGATCTTCAGCAATTGAGAAAAATTTCCCTCTGTTTCCCTTAATCATCCATACCCCTTTTAACATAGTGGTTAATCTCCTTTAGAAACAAATGAGGCAAGGGATCCAAATCTAGTTTTATAAAACTGTATCCTGTGATACTTTCTCCCTCTTAAATGTGATTATCTTTAGGGCTTGCAGTGTTTGGTACTCACAAAATTAGGCTCTTCCACTTACAAAAAAGCCCAGTTGAAAATAAAGATTTGGGAATAGAAAATAGGTATACATCAGATACTCCTCACTTTCAAAATGCTTTCATTTGGGGAATGAGGATCTGTGGGTAAAAGGTGGCACTTCATGTAACTTTATATATAAGGAATTGGGAGTTGATAGGAATCTATATATATATGTAACTGTTTTGTTTTCCAGAGTAGCAGTCCAGTCCAGCAATATTCCAGCTCCACTTTAGTTATCTTGGCTGTGTTTTGTGGCTCTCAGATTTTGTGGGGAGTGATTTAGGTGGGTCCACTAGGGGACAGCAGAGGACAGTTCTTTGCATTGCATACTCATGGGCAATAGTTGAGATCAGCGGCAGCAAATATACAGATGGAAAGTGGTTTAAATTTCTAATGTGATAACTTGTGAAGAAGAGTTTATGATGGTTGTTTTTTGGAAAATACTGGTACTTTATAGAACAGATAATGAAGAAAAAATTTTAAATGTCTTTAATTGGTTTGTAAATTGAAATAATAAAAGTGAGAAGACAATTTCCATGAGTATTAATTTACTGAAGCTTACTATGTGTACCTTAGGTTTAAGATAGGTACAACATTTGCTAGTGAAAATTCTTTCATTCCTCTAGTTTAAACTTTACAGAGATTATCTTCAGCCCACTCTACGTTTAGAGAGGCTGGTACTTCCTTACATGGCCTTCTGCCTTTGTCTATTGGTATCTGGAATTTAAAGCTTAAAAAAAGGAGGACAAAATCAATCCATTATTTTGCATCAAAGAAGCATTGGGAAGATAAGGAAGAGTATGACCAGTCTAGCTATTAAGGTAGGTAAAGGGGCTGATATTTCTTAGGAATCTATTATTTCCCAGACACTTTCCCCTTGCTCTCCTGCTATCTGTCCTCAACACAGCAGGCAGAGTGATCCTTTTTAAAACACAAGTAAGATCATGTCGCTCCTCTGATGGCTTCCCATTTCACTCAAGAGTAAAAGCCAGGGGCTTTCTGGGCTTATACTGTGCAACCCCCTTCCAACCCCAGTTCCTATTATCCTGTGCTCCACACTGGTCTTGTTGTTTCTCCTACATGCCAGGCATGTTTTTGTCTTAGACCATTATATTATGTTTCTCTGGAATGCTTTTTCCTTACGTGTCCACATGGCTGTCTTTCTTACCCTGCCCTAACCTCTCCTTCTTACCTGGTTCTTATTGTTTTTCATAGCATTTAACACTTTTAAATATATTAGAGCATTAACTTATATTTATTATTTGCTTTTTGTTCTCTTTACTAGAATATAAGCTTTATAAAGGCAAGGCAGGTTGTCTACTTAACTGATGTACTCTGAGTGCCTAGCACAGGGCTTGCAGAGTGGAC